CAGTGCAGTCACTGTAGTCAGTTGGCGTCAGTGTCGGTGCATAACTGTCAGTTTTTCAGTTTTTTCACTGATACTGCACATCCCTAGATTCAACGCATATATCCTGCGTCTAGTGTTTAAATGGGAAGTTCTTGAATTGATGAATTAATATACAATATACATGAAATCTGCTCAATCGCAATTTAACTGCTTTTTAGACTGAAACATGTTTGTCGTTGCTCGCCTAAATCTAGTATGAACTGAGTAGTGTTGTTATTCTACTGCCCATTTCAAAATAAATTGCGAATGGGTATTTTTGAAATAACTTTTGATAGAACCACTGTAGAGAGCTGCGATTTTCATCGTTAAAAAGTGAAGATGGAGACGCATCAAACTATATATTGCAGAGTAATTTAAACTGGTTTTATCCAGGACTTAAATCGACATTTTTGGTAACCAACATACTCCATAAGGTGACTAAGGCCAATGTTCAATAATCAGGTATGGATTCGAACCGCTAAATGAAGATCTTTAAAACTACGCAATGCCCAGACTTTTACGCTTATCCGTACAGCAGTTATAGACATTTTATCTGAAGCTCCTAGCCGATTTTTCTATCAGTTTCTGTAAAAAAAATCACTATTTTGCGTTTTTCTTATTTTTTAGAGAAACCAATTTTCCGTTATTTTTTCAGAAAATCGATTAAGAAAACTTTAGAAAAAATCTCAGAGAAACCTATAATATACCATTCCGTGCGTCTTCATCTCTTCTTTTCAACGGTGATAATCCTAACTCTCTACAGCGATTCGATCAAAAGTTATTTAAAAAATACCCACCCACCCTTTTTTTTGAAACGGGCAATAGTTGCGGATTGTTTTTAAACAACTTAATTACTGAATGAGAACATGCACTTTAATCTAAAAATGTAGGCTTGATTTAGAAAAATGGTTTTGTTTTTACTGAAAATTGAGAACAGAAGCTGGTAAAAATTGAATCGGAGCAAGGGCTTGGATCACTGCAGAATTTTAATCCAAAGCAAAAGGAAGGTCACTGAAGAAGTTGACCGGGACCAAAAAAGCGTAATTTCCCAGACGTCCACTGTTTACTCAATAAACTGAAAACGAACGGAGATAAAGACCTGAGATTTTCGTCATTCGACACTAAACATTTTGAAATATGAAAGTACAGTCAAATTTGGCTGGGCAAGAAGTGACTAATTAGGAAAATTCGTTAGTAAAGATTTTTGAAGCTTAATTTTCAAAAGAATTCCGATTGAACTGTGACTTGAAATAAGACTGTTCAGCAGAAAATTTATCCTCTATCGAACCACGCAAATTTTCACCTATTCCGTTATTGTATTTTGAAGATTCAATGCATATATCTCAAATTAAAAAAATTTACAATGCGAAAAAAATATGTCAGCATAATCCGTGCTAGATTAAAATGTGCAATACCATAGAGCCGTTTCCTTATATTAAAACCTCCGCGCTATGCTGAATGTCACCAGAAAGACAAGAAGAGGTGTCAATAGCGTAAATATCGGAGGACAGAATATCTCGCCTCTAACTTTAGAACACTTTTGTGTTTCGCTCCCCTAAAGCAAAACATCCTGCTTCTTCCTGTGCTTTTTTGAAGGGCTTTGATTAGCCCACCCTTCAAATTCGGATCGACCACCAGCCTCCAGCGAGCGAATGGGCTGTAGAGTCAAAAAGCCTCTCTCCTCTCTCATTTCTGAACAATATTTGCGCCCCTAAAAACTACACATCGAACATCTCGATTGTGATCTATGGAATACGGTGGGGTTCACTTTTCTCGCTATGAATTTCAACTAGTATTTTCAAGCATGTTTCACAAAATATTAAGAATAGAAAAAATTTTAAATTTAGAAGTGTCAAATATTTCCAAAAGTTTTAAATTGGAAAAGATTTTAATCATATTTTGCGCCTTGCAAGGTCAGTAACTTATAGGACACCATACGGCTATTCTTATCGAATTTTTCATAAATGTTATGTTGAATTTACCCAGCAACGCCGCGTACTTCAGCTACTATGTAATATTCGAAATTCAAATGCAAGCAGTCTTTCAGGCGAACAAAAACTCATAGGAGTGTCAGGGTGAAGAGAAAACTCCGCAAACAGCAGCTGAGGTGCAATCAAAATATTACAGGGTACTTAATACTAGCGAGGGAAGTCTCGTAAGTGAAACTCTGCTTTCTAAAAACAAACTTGTCATGCAGAACTTTACACGGCTCTAGTTGGATACCATTTTCAGAATCTTTCTTAAGCTTCAGCAAAATCTAGTTTTATCTTGAACATTTTTCGCCTTTTCGGAAAAAAACGGTTGTAGCCTGCTAAAAAGAAGTCCGTTCAGTACGCGTAGTCTAATATTGCTGATTAGTTCTCTATCTAATTCTTTATTCCTATATTTCACCCATTATTTCTACGTATTGTATCTTGATTGCATATTTAAACACTAATTACTATGCACTATCGCTTACATATATGGTTAGCGCTTTGATTCCACATCTAATATCTCATTTCTATATATTTTCTGAGAGTGGAGCTTTAACAGGAAAACTTCTCTAAGTTTGACGTTAAAGTTAAGAATAACACTTTAAACTATAATTATTAAAGTGAAAGCTGCATACTTTAGTACTTTAGGTTTAAAAAGATTAAATTTAAAGTAGTCGCGTCATGGACCGATCGATACTTTGTAGAATTCATCGTTTCATGAAAGTTCGTTCAAGTTTTAAAACTAAGAACACTTGATAAAATTTGATCAATGAGCTTCGAAGGCTAGGAATCTCAATCTTTTTTATGCTTCTTGACATATTCACTTCATCGTTTTTGGAAATTAGCAACGGATCCAAATTTTTACACTTCGATAACCTATGGGCAAACTTTATATAATATTCTTATTTTTCAGAAACAGGCCTCCTATTATGAAATTATGAAACAAAACGAACTTTTACAACGGAGTACAAAGTCGGATTTGTCTATTGCGAAAACGTATGGCTAACTTATGTGAAATATAATTTTTTTTTAGAAATAGCCTTGCTCTAGTGAAATTCTCAAGTCCACAAATTTTGAGAAACCGATTAGAGATTCGCATTTTTTGAGCTCTGAGATTTTCGAAGAAATTTTATAAAGATTTTCTGTTTTGCGAAGTCGGTGCTTTTCGAACGGAAAAGTGAAATTCACAAAATTTTCATTGTTCGATGACGTAACCTCTTTAACTTTGATTTATTTAAAATCACAGCGCCACTACTAGTGATCCTTGTTCAGTAAATAAAAGTGTTCTATTTTCTAATTAATAAAGCCTCCATAAAAAATTACCACTTTTAGTTCAAGCAACTTCCACGAAAACAATGGTTGTAAAAGAATAAAATTCCAGCGACAACAAAACGGATGTGAGATGAAACCCTTCTCATCATTTCAAACCATTTTGTTATTTGATATGGTTCTTTATATGGCTTCGAATTCATTGAGGAGTTTTTAATAAACGAACGAAACCTTGAATATTTTCACGATTTTGGTTAGAATTCTAACTGGTTTAATATGACACCTTTTTTATAGAGCGCTATTAACGTAATAGATCGGCCATAAATAGACCTTAGTAAGGCTACAAAAACTCTAAAATGGTTTGGTTTAATATTGCTCACCTATTCAGATATGGCAATTTTATTAAATTTTATATCTTAGGATAGGTATTTCGAGCTCAAGTTTTTTGCATAAGCAGGTCTAATAATAACTAGAACAACCTGAAAGTTTCAGAAAAAACGGATGTTTCTTTCTCAGGATATTGAATTTGTAGTACGACCGATTTTTGTAAACTGCCTATGGCAATTAACTATTTATTTTTAAATTGAATATCTTGCGAAAGAAACATCTAATTAGGCTATACCAAAATTTTTGGGTACGATTTCCAGAAGATTTTTTGAATAAAGGACATTATTAAGAAGTCAAACAAGTCAAACTTACCATGCTGCAGAGCTTTTGGCGACAGTGGAATGATGCATAGTAAATTCTATTTTCACAATACTTTAAAAAGCTAGAGTCAACTTACTGATAGGCGACTACTCATTTCCAGTCGAGCATGATACGTTTCTCAATTTTAACGATTCACGGTATTACGCGATAGTGTTTCTAAAATACATTTTTCTAACATAAGATGGTGTGGAGTTTTTGACAAACTGCAATCTTCTATGTGTCGCATCTTCGATTAACATTTCCGTGCTTGTATAGCAGATTTTAGATATAGTTATGCAATCTTCTACCAGTAAGTCGACTCTAGATCCTTAAAATTTCTACGAAAACAAGATTTACTGTATGCAATGTCACGCGCCTTGAAAAAGCTCTACAACATGGCATATGTAGTTTTTCATTTCTCAACACGATCCTTTATCCGAAAAGAACCTTTGAAAGCTGTGGCTAGCACTTCTGATATACGTTAACTATATCGGCTGAAGCTTCCAGATTTGTCTAGTTATTACTCGAGGTGCTGATATGTAACGTTTCGGCTCAAGATTCCATCATTTCATGGTTCTAGAAATACCGATCCTAAGATGAAAAAATTTAGTAAAATGGCCATATCTCTCAATAGGTAAGCCATATTTAAGCCGATAACTTTTAGAGTTTTTCTGGTCTTACTAAGAACTACATATGGGCAAAATATAACGTCAAAAGCAGAGCTTCATTTTGAAGTGTTCCCTCACGAAACCAAAATCTCACAGGAGCACCTGAGGGTGAAGCTGAAATCCTACAAGAAACTGCTCAGGATGTCGACAAAACCTTACATAAATATCTGAGGCAGATATGAAAACTCCAGTATGGGCAGCTAAGGGTGTTATGGGATAATAATTTAATATTTGAATTTTAAGTAGTCAACAATTGAGTAATTCAACACTTGAAGTTACCTTTGAATTTTATCACGAATGGAATTTAAATGACATGTTTTTAGGACATATATTTATTTTTAAAATGCTATTGCTGTATATGTTACTGCTATGGCAGGCAGATTCAATGCTACAAAATCCACTGAATATGTACGATGTGGATCATCATCGTCTCGACGGATACTGTCTATTATACTCTGTAAACAATACACATTTGAGTCCTGATAAATCCATATATCAATTAATTTCGTATTGTCTTCGACCAGCAGAGCAAAGTCTCATCAATCTTAGTTCCATCGTTACATTCGATTCTAATTTCACTTTTTCTACATTACGAGAGAAAAATATTAGTAGTGAACAGTTACTATCCTGGTCAGCATCGATTGATTTGGCTGAACGCTATCAAGTATTTTTGAATGATATCTCATCTTCATCATTAACATTTAAGAAAGAAGACTTGTTCTACAGTTGTTTATGGCCATGGTTTGGTCCACTCTGTCAGTTTTCATTCGATCCACCAGACAATATATCATTTGATACCATAGTTGCTCGCAATTTTCCACCAGACTATGTAATTTTGAAGGATGCTAGAATAACATGCTACAAGCATCTTGATTGTAATACATCAATACCATGTTTGGACTGGCGCGAGATTTGTAATGGGAAAATTGACTGTGTGGATGGATCCGATGAATTGAATTGTTGGCAACTCGAAATAAACGAATGTGCTGAGAATGAATTTCGATGCCACAATGGTCAATGCATTCCGGCAGAATTTTTCCATGATACTCCTTCAAATCCAGAATGTTTAGATACAACAGACGAGCGCCTTATTACAGGATCTATTTCAGCATGTTTTAAAGATCCTACTTTTCGCTGTGAAGAACATAGTTGCCGACCAGGATATGAAGACTTTCCTTGTGGCGATGGAAGCTGTATAGTGGAGAAGACAAATCGGTGTAGAAACAAGCGTGGTCAAATGATATTATCGGATGATTTATGTTCGAAAACCATGGAATGTATCACAAATGCCAAGTCATTCTCTGACAATGCTGTTAGAGAAGCTTGTTCAACAAAGATATGTCCAGGTCTCATTTGTCCTAAAAGCAATTGCCCATCGTTATATCAGTTTCCATTATATCCTATCTTATTTGGAAATGTACGGCTCATATATAAAAATCAAGATAGACAGCTCAACGCGATACCAATTGTCGAACTGCCGACTTATGTGTGCTACGATGATCAACATTATATTTCACAATGTTTTCCATCTGCAATACGTATTAATGATTCAGCTTGCCATGATTTTGATAAATTAGGACTGCCAATGGTATTTATATATAATCAGTTGATCATTGAAGTTCAAAAATTATTTCGACCTTGTATAATTGTATCAAATGAAACACACTATTGCAATCATTCAACAATGTATCAGTGTCAGAATTCAACTAAATGTATATCAAAACATCGCCTTGTAGATTCTATTCAGAATTGTCCTTTCAACGATGATGAAATGTTTAATCAGAGTTGTTCACTGAACGATTCTCATCGTCGTTTTACATGTACAATACATAAGAACAAAGTATGTTTGGCACCATTAACCAGTCTCGATAATATCGGGAATTGTGACGATAAAAGCGATGAATTTGATACGCCTACTAATCGATATTACAATGAGAACTTTCATTTTGAGAGGCTGTGTGATAGTAAGCAAGATGCCATACCCGTATCGATCGATGGACTAGATGAAACGGATGAAAATGGATGTGAACATTGGCCATGCAATAATACATACACTCGATGTGATGGATTTTGGTCATGCAAAGATGGAGCTGACGAGGTAAATTGTCCACCATCGACTTGTCCAGAATTTGAACATAGCTGTGTCTTTCCAAGCAACGCATCAACAGTATCATGTTTACCTATTGCTCGAGCTGGTGATGGGATAGTCGACTGCCTCGGCGAATTAGATGAACGACACTCACCGTTAAAGAACTTTCTTGGCGGCTCGGAGAGGATTCAAAACTCTTTTTTTTGTGGGAATGAATCAAATAAATTGGGATTTGGTCATAATGTATTATGCAACAATCAGAAGCAGTGTCAATTTGGTGAGGATGAAGTGTTTTGTGAAAAAAATGTATCTTCAACGAAACTCCTCTGTAACCGAGAAATGTCATGTCGAAATAGAGTCGAAAACTATTTTTGTGACGTTATAATAACAAAAAATCGTAGAAGACCCTCTTTGAAACTACGCCATATGCCAGCATATCCACCAAAGTTAATAACTTATGAGACTACTTCAATTACACTATCATCGACTTACAGGACAATTCAGCTAGGTCAAAGCATTCCAACAAGCAACATACGATATCCCGATTCATGGCGATGTAATCGAGGACTTGCTATTTTGATTCGATTGAATAAAAGCATGAACGTACCACGATGTCTTTGTCCACCGAGTTACTACGGAGATAAGTGTGAATATCAAAATCAACGTGTCAGTCTCACGCTTCAAATACGTATGACGTCGGATTGGCACATTCCATTCACTTTTATTCTTAGTCTGGTAGACAATGAAAAAAATATTGAATCAAAGGATTATATTGAATATTGGGCCATTCGGGATTGTGACACGAAATTCGACGTCTATTTACTCTATTCAAGTCGGCCAAAAAATCCATTGAAAAATTTTTCAGTAATAATCGATGCATTCAATAAATTAACATTGAAATATCGAGCCAGTTGGATTTTCCCAATTCAGTTCCCATTTTTACCTGTACATCGTCTGGCCGTTCGACTCATAGTTCCGACTTCAACAATTGGCCCTCATGAAAATTGTACACCATCGTGTATCCATGGGCACTGCTTTACTTATGTCAATAATAAAAATTCAACATTCTGTCGGTGTGAATCGGGTTGGACAGGTTTGCAATGTAATATTCAGTATACATGTGATTGTGCATCCGATTCATTATGTGTCGATAACTTTACTTGTTTATGTCCTACCGATAGATTTGGTCCTCGATGTTATCTTCTACAATCGACATGCCATTCTGAATTCTGCAAAAACGATGGTCGATGTGTGTCTAACGATATACGTCGGGCACATTCACAGCAAAAAAAGCAGTATGTAGTTGTTCTGAAGAGTTCTCAGGAGATTACTGTGAACGCCGACGCATTCGAATCGACATATCATTTGATAGTAGATTGACTATTCCACAAGTAATGACTATTCATTTCATTATAAATCAACCTAACTCAAAACATATTCAAATGAGTACGATGAAAAATATTCCATTCAATCAAGATGAAGTCACGATCTATAGTTCGCTCTCTTTCAATATTGCTTTCGCAGAAATATTCAATGAGTATTATCTTATTGCTCTACGAGAGCAGAACATTATGGTGAATATTTCGACACAAATAATACCATCTAATCGATGTCCATTCCTTCGTGAACTATTCAACGAAAGTTTGCGTAATTTTTCCTTATTGAGACTTGTCAAATACTATCATATTCCATGTCAAGAACGATCGGAATTGGTTTGCTTCTATGATAAATCTCGTTTTTGTTTATGTGATCTTGCTAAACAAGCCAATTGTTTTAAATTTAAGCATTACGAGAATTACAGTTGTCCTGGATACAACTTATGTGAAAATGGAGGTCAATGCGTTGAAGATAATGAAAGGTGTCCCACATTATCAATTTGTGTCTGTCCGGAATGTTACTATGGATCGAAATGTCAATTTAATACTTATGGATCGATTCTCTCGTTAGATGTTATTTTGGGCAATCAAATTCGATTGAATACTGTCATCCATAATCAACCGACCGTCGTGAAAATAGTGATTGTATTTACTGTACTTATGTTTGTATTAAGTCTTTTTAACAGTTTTTTCTCATTGTTCACATTTAAAATGAAAATGACACGTGATGTTGGCTGTGGTTATTATCTGTTTGTAATTTCGATTACATCAATGATTACAATTTGCCTACTAACAATTAAGGTTGCATTTCTTCTTGCATCCCAGATCGGTTCACTTACAAATCGCTCGTTCCTCTACACACAATGCGTATCTATTGACTTTTTTCTTCGAGTTACTCTATCTACTGGTGATTGGCTCAGTGCTTGTGTCAGCATCGAACGCGCGACCAGTATCTCAAAAGGAACCAATTTTAATAAAAGAAAGAGCAGAAATAGTGTTAAATGGATTATTTTAATAGTGATTTTATTCACTGGTTGTACACATATTCATGATCCGATTCATCGTCGTCTCATCGATGATGAAGAACAACGTACATGGTGTCTTGCAAAATATTCACCATCTCTGCAAGTATATGATAGAATTGTGAATGCTGTTCATCTTACTATTCCGGTTGTTTTCAATTTTATTTCGGCATTGATTATAATTGTTCGTGGTGCCTATATTCGTTCAAACACTCAGAAAAATCAATCACTTAAGCAACTTTTATTCAAACAAATACAACTACATAAGCATCTACTAATTTCACAGTGTATTCTCCTATTATTAAGTGTACCTCGTTTGATTCTTTCGTTTCTATCTGCATGTATGAAATCAATTCGAAATCCTTGGCTTTATTTAATTGGTTACTTTATTTCATTTGTTCCACAAATATGCACCTTTCTTGTGTTTGTTGTACCTTCGAAAGTCTACATGCAAGAACTGGATAAATCTCTTAAACATTTCTTTAAAAACTAAGCACACAATTTTCCGCCAATAATTTACGTAATGATTACTTGTGAAACATTATCTATCTATGCTTTTATTAAAAAATAAAATATCGAAACTGATCCAAATCAAATTGTTTGTTTTTCGAATTTGTCGACTACCCAGGTTGAGCAATACACCGAATAGAGATAGTCGTATACGTCAGATACACATATGTAACACTAAACACAAGCAAATACATACGATCATCCTAAACAACAGTTGCCAAAAATCTTTTCTAAGTTCATCTCTTTGCAGACTCAATAATCCTAGGTGCACGGCGCATACTTCTGCATAAACATCACAAAACATCTTTTTTCTCAAAAACTGTATTTTTCTAGAGAAAATACCTAGAAAATAGAGTATCTAAGAAATAAGGGACTTCCTTTATCAAAACCTATCGTGAGGCTTGAAAAGTCCTCAAAACAAATTTACAGATTTCAAACAGATCATTTCTCTTAAAAGTTAGATTCGCTTTCAGAGAATACGTAGAAAACAAGGCATCTTTCAAAACAAGGTATTTCCTTAGTTTCAGTGTGGGTGCGGGTGTGTGGTTGTTTGTGAGCGTGAATGTATGTGTGGGTGTGGATGGTAGTGTCCTGCGGGAACGACTTTTTTCCCTAATTTTCCCATTCCCATTTAGACTTAGGGAATGGGAACAGAATTAAAAATTGACGTTCCCAAAATTCTTTCTATCTTATTTTAATATACATAAAAATATTTCTGTCTGATAACTGTTTATTTTCAATAACTTTTCTTATTCATATACAATTAACAGAAAAATAACAAATGTGTATCAACAAAAAATAGTCTATTTATTTGTTCTTAACCACATCGTAATGTAATCATCACAAATATTGGCATTGGTTAAGCGGGTGTTCCTTCGTATATGCACTATACATTCAAGCTGGTGTTCCTTTTCATTAAAAAAGTGTTCCATCGGGTAAGACGGAAATTCGCCAATAAGAATTTCGACAACGGANCGATTAAAATATGAAATACAAAATGCGGTCGGTTATTCTTGATGACATATTTACATTTTACAGCCGTCTGTATGTCTTTAGCTTTCGTCTTTTTTCAAATATATCTAAAACTGTTTTTGAGCCTAGTCACATATGGTTTTGTAGAGAATTTTAAGCGCTTTCTTTTGATAATTAAGACAGCTTTACTTACAGTGATAATATACAGGAAATCTTAAAAATACTGGGAGGCTCATTATTCCTGGGACACCCGATAGAATTAGACAATTTCTTCTAAACGGATTTTCTTTGTAATCAGTGAAATAGCATAACTTTTCCATTGAAAATTAAAACAATCATCAATATTCGTGTTACGCAAAAGCTCTCAGAAAATTTTATGTCTGTTATGAATTTTCAACTGAAAGAAAATCTATGAAGAGATAGTTTCCTATTAGAAATATTCAGTAGATTGTTGAAAAAACGTTTTATTCTTGACAATATTTTAGTCTCATTTCGTTTTAGATAATCTAAAATAACAGTAATGAATTACTTGTATGAGGAATGATCCTCCATCGTTGCTTTGGATTTCTAATCAATTCCACCATATCTTCGTCTAATGTTAATGCAAGTTGATCCAATTTCAATTGAATAAGTAAAGATAATGTTTGAATTAATGATTGAGATAATAAACATTGAGTAATCTTAAGTGATTTGAGATTAGGAAAACAAAGAATTTGTTTATCATTATTATAAAAAAGACATTCATGGATAAGATCAGGAGAATTTGAATTAGTTCCATCAAAATGAATATATTTAATAAAAGAAGAAAGAGATGAATTACAAATTAATGGGAATAATATTAATGAAAATTTTTTATAAGATAAACCTGATTGATTAAGAATAATTCCATTTTTATCAATTGAAAATATTGAATAAATAATCAAATTAATACGTCTATTTAATGACCATAATGATATTAACATTTTATCCCATGATAAATAACAAAATATATTAAGTAATATTTCATTTGGTAATGTTTCTAATTTACTTATCATTTTATCTAAAAATAAAAACAAATAAAACTATATTTTTATTCATTTTTTTTTCACAAAAATGAAAACAAATAATTCTAATTGGATAGATAGAAAAAAGAACATCCTTTTCGTTATATTTTTTTATATCTATATTTCCTCAGATTCAATCACAATACCAAATTTCTTCATTCAATCTCAATTGTGTCAATCAAAGATCGATATGTGACGGGCGAAATTCGAACTGTGTACGAAAAAAGGATAGTTCGTTTCTCTATATAGAATTTATTTACACGATAATCTGGATAGACTTCTATGACACGTTAATAAATAGATTTTCAACGCATCGAAACTTTTATGTATTTATTGAAAATTTCATTTAAAATGTTACATATTTCACTTACCATTGAATAGTTCTTAAAATTGGAATATTAAAAAAAAGTAATCTGATCTGAATTTTAATAAAACAAAACAAATGTTTTCTTTTAGAATTACCTTATCATAAAGATCAGGTCAAAAAATCAGAGAAAATACTGTTGAATAAAAAAATAATTAAATGATGGCACATTTTATCCTCTAGTCTGATGTCGATCGAAAAAAATCTATCTTTATTCATATTTTATTTCCAAATGAACTATTTTGACGAAAAAATTGACATATGACGAATATGGCGAAATGTACATCGGATGTTTTTTTTTTTCTTCATTATAATATTGTCGTCTTTCAATATTGACCTAAGAGAAAAGCACAGAAAGATTATACATGTAATAGACAAAGTGAAAGAAAATAGAAATAATAAAGAACGATCTGTTAATTAATTTTTTCTATTTGTATTAATCTAATTTCATTGAAAGTTGTACAAAAATGAGAGAAAGGATGGAGATGTATAAGAGTAGAAATTGGTCCAGCTTCTATTTTCCAAAAAAATTACATTTATCAATGCAGAATGGAACGGAGAATGGTTTAATGCCAAATTCAATCCAATTGGAGAATATTTTATAGGTGTCGACCCAGATTACTACACTATATTTTTTACCCAATCCATAGGATTCTATTTTGGCAATAAGTTTGTCAAAGTATTTCTTGTCCTGGCTATAAATCGAATCCCGAATAATGCGCACGACGATTCTGAGGGTGCTAGCTGAGAGTGAGTGTGAGGCTGAAAAGGTCCGTTTTGTTTCCAAACCCTCATGTCCAATTCCGTTCGCAAGTGTCGTCGTGCGCATGATTCGTAGACCCCTATAAATAGTCTCATCTGAAAGAGCAAAGTGTGCTGATTACATCCATACATGAACTATCTAGAAATAGTAGATATAAAGTGAACATATGACGAACAAATAGTGTCTCTATCGATATTTTGAGTTTCATTAAGCTTCAGGCTCGTCAATTGAAATCATGTAAGACAAATTTTAAATGATCAATGAAATACACATGGTTTATATGCTGGTGATAGATATAGTATTGGTGAAAACCTTGGGTTACGTCATATTATGATTTTCATATGGTATTATGGTATTTACCATTTGTATTATCTGGACAATATATAGATTTATCGAAAGGTATATTAGTGTTCTCAGCGAAACTACGATCACCATTTATCTTGCCAGTTCTTATTTCGAATACTTTTGGATCAATAAGTGCAACTCCGATGTTAGATGGACAATCATCTTATATATTAATATTATTAATTGGAAATTTGTCATTGAATGAACATTCTGTCAATAACACTGGAAAAATATATGATTGTATGAAAAAGAGTTTAGTGTCCGCATCCATCGACCAAATATTTTCAGCTGAATCCATCCAAAAACGGCCATAATGAATCTGTACATTCCTATAACGAGTCCCAGGGGTGCTAATAATTATAACATCTCAGCAAAATGAGATGAGAGATCATACCAACATCCAGTAACAGAGTCAAGATTGACGTTGAAAATAGCGAGTGGATAATGTGAAATACATGGTTAGACCACATCATGTTAAAACATCGATGATAAGAAGTTTCAATAATTCTTTTGCTCCTTTCAACATTTTCATTAACATACTTGGCAAGACTATTAACTCAAGATTCTTGTGAAATTTACTTTGATTTCCGATGCAAAATCTTTCATTTTGTTTTAATGTTGTGTTTGTCAATAGTACAAAGGGTATTCGATTGAAGTTTGACCCTGTCCAAATGTGAATAGTAATACCTCATGACCTTGATTTGATACTTTGACGTGTGAAACAAGAATCTGGAAGCAAATTGATTAAGACGATACTTGTCTGACCTCTTTCCTTTTTATCGAATGGAAGCATGAATGTAGAAAATAACCGTTTGTCTTGTTGCTCTCAAAACGAAAAGTCACAATCGAAAAGAACTATATAAGAGCCATTGCATGTAAGCCATGACCCGGAGTGCTCATCGACCATCTCCGATTTCGTCCATTTTTACATATATCGATAGAGGAAACTGTTTGATGATGTCTGCCGAAAACTGCATCGTAAAATATTGATCCGCTGATTTTTTATTGAACTTTTACGAAAAGCCCCAAAATCCACGATCATGAGAAAATCGCTCATTGTTATGGCTGTATCTCACAAACAGCTGAACAGATCGAGCTGAAACTTTCTATCAACACTCATAGCTAATGATACTATTATCAGAAAAAATTTCAAGCGAAATTTTTGTGCCTTTGATTTTCTGCAAATACTCTTTGGATAGGTTAAAATGCTAATTTTAGCGAGTTTTGTGATCCTATATCTGGCGACTAGTGCATGATGGAGTCTTGAAACTTTTTTTGCAGAAAGATCTCGATGATATCTTATTTTGGTAAAAGTCTCAGCTTGCCTGAGCAGAGTGTTCGTTTTTATCAACCTGAGTAAAATCCGATTTTTCGTAAAATGCGATTTAGGATGTTGGCCGTCCCAAACAATATGGAGCAGCTAATGAGCAGAGTACTTAGCCTTGGAAGCCTCATCTTTGGTCTACAACTTGGGGCAAAAACCAGCATGGTATCTGTATGGGAGCCTTGTGGGTGTGGGTATTGCTAAACCAAAGATGCAAACACACCCACACCCCACCCACACCCAAGATATAATGAATTGATCAAAATTATTAAAACTAAGTTAGACTTTTACACATTTACAAATAAAATTGAAACGATTCAAACAGAAATTCTGTTGTCATTTCTACAAATTAGAAGAAAAAGTTGAATTATTTGTATTTCGTAAAAAGATAATGTTATTGAATGATATTCTGACGTTTATTCCTATAAATGAAATCTTCATAATTACATCTATTATTTTGCATTCATATTAGTGTCAGAATCTGCTTAAAAAAATATTGTTTTCTCTAGGATTGTTGTATTACTATTAAATTAAGCGCATAGAAGAGTATGGTAAATGTAAAAGGTATTATAAAAATTTGTTTTTCTTGGTAAACTTTGTCAAAACTTTGAAAACGAAAATAATTAGCAAAAGCGTTAATGAAGGCTGATTTATCAACGTCGAACTTCCCAAGAAGGAGTAAATCATTAATCTCGTTAGTTGAGGACGGTAGTACTTCCAGATGACTGAAAATTCGATAGATTTTGATTTGGTATTATATTTTCTGATGAGTTTATTGTCATTTTTTTTTCAATTCGAATGTTGGATAGTGAAATTAGCATAGACAACAAGATTGCAGTTGAAGGTTCTTTTTTGCTCTATATAATTTAAAGTTGCTCAATATTTTTCAGTTTAAAATTCATGATTCTGAAAGTTCTTTCTGAATATTCTTGAATTGTATTTTACAATTATTTTTTTGGTAATTCAAATAAATTATGATTAATATGAAGATTCAATAGTTTTAATTTAGATGTTTGTATAAATAATACTCAAGAGTTTAGAATCTCATTTGATTAATATAAAATTAATTTTGAAAAATGTACAGTATAGTGATCGTAGCCTGAATGAATACGAGTAAGAATATATTTTTATCGCTCCGGTACTTTATAATTTCTTTTTTTTGCAATTCTATTGTAATAAAAAAATTATTGTAACTTTTTCATTGGAGTGAAAGCGTCTATATTTGAATAGACTATAATTATGATGGTTGGATCAAAGAAAGTTTGTTTTTGTGAGTTTATGCTAACCACATGCTTTTTATTACACAAACTTTCTTGAATCTTCCTTCAACAAAACATCTATTTCTTTTGATTTATCAGAAAATACTTGCAGAATACTAATAAGATGAATACCCGAAATGATTTCAATTATAATATGGGTTGAAAATGTTCTAAATGCTGATAATCTCTTCACTTCATTCTATATCTATACGAAAAAAATTGGAATGTGTTCAATAATCAATTGAAAATAATTAACGAGCAAAGTTATTCTAGTTGCATAAGTAATTTCTATAATGATATACTTAATCGTAATTAATGATCAATATCATCAAGTTTAAGTAAATTTCTACATTTAGTTGCATGTTCATCGATTAATATACATAGTTGATTTATAAAACTGATTTCTGATCTTACCTTCCTATCAATTAAAGACACCGGAAAGAATTTTTTATAGAAGATTTGATTATCTTGTCGACATGTGCCATAAAATTTCAATATAAAGTAGAATAAAAACATATGTTAACATCGTTCTAAGACTCCAGTCAAGAAATATATATAAATATATTGATCGTTTTACGATTATTTTACTTTCAATTTTGAAGTTTTTTTCCTTAGTTAAGAATAATTCTAAAAATAACTTTTTATTAAAATTGAGCAAGTCAACATGAATTTTGGATTTTTTTATAGAGAAAAGATTTTTTAATGTTTAGCAATGAAAATAAATTTTATTTTGTTTTTTGAGATTTTTTGTTTTAAATTTTTTACTAATTTTAAGAGAAGATAAAGAGAGAAAAAAACCAAAATAGAACAGAGAAGGAAAAAATGAGAGAAAGAGAAAGGGTGTGGGTGTGGGTGTGGGTGGGTGTGGGGTGTGGGTGTGAGCATATTTTCCTTGCAGTTACACTCACACCCAACATCACACCCACACCCTCGGATTTTCTTGCCTCCAGCAATACTTATCAGCACTGAAATTTTCCACTGTGATCGATCTATCTTGTTTATCTGTAGAAAGTCCTATCTTAACGAGAAATCAGAAGAATCTCTTGATATTTCCTAACGAAATATGTCTGTCAATGTCGAAAAAATGAACAAAAGCTCTCAAACATTTTTGTAATTTCTCTATCTTTTTTAACACATATCTCACAAGAGTTTTTTTATGCATTGGATATTCCAATAATAAAAAAAAACTCCCATATGTATCCTAACGTTTACCATACAAAAATTACTTTTCGATGAACTTTTGGTTCTGCCAAAGACTTGCTCATCTTTGACATAAGGTTTTCTCTTGATTATATTTGACAACTATGCTTAATTTAAGCGAAAAGATCAGGTTTAATTTTTTAATACATTACAATAACTATTCAATATTTAGACAAAATTAGAAAAATAAGAAGCCAACGATAAAAAAAATAACAAAATAGTAAATTTCGGCATTGTATTTTGAATCTGTTTTGACCAAATCATTGTATAAAAATACACAATATACAATGAGGATGTTGATGAAGAGAAGATTCTCATCCACACCCGTTTTTATATATTATTTTTAATGTTTTGCGAAAATTATTGGTTTCAGAATGATTTTGTCTTATATATTTTGGAGAAAAAGACATTCCCGTGTCTTCTCTTTTGATTGCTGAAAACCGCAGATTGCTAGCTGCTTACTTTCCCGACTTACTCCATCTTTAATCGAGTACCTTTAAGTCCCGCGCCAACATTAGCAAAAGTTAATATAACAAACACAATGGTCAAAGTATTATCCTTTTTTTGAATTGAAAAGACGGCTTTCACAGAAGAAAAATAGTACATGCTTAATTTAGATGTTCAGCGAAAATGAATCGTAAGTGACCATTAACCTATCGGAAAATGAAAGTTTGAGAGCTCTAAATAGAATTTCGATGTCGATGAGAAGTTGAAATGCCTATCGAATGGCCGATTAGGATCTGTTAACTAATAATCAAATTTTCTTGAAGAGCAACCATTTAATTAATATGATTCGAAATCAAATGCACTTGCCGTCTCATTTCTTACTGATTATTGTTTGTGATTAGGTGTCATGGTATGTATTACCAATTCGAACTTCTTTGTCAATTAAAAGAAAATATTAACATGAACGATGAAGCATATTATATTATAAAACCTTGTTAGTATTTAATGAAGATCGAAACTACAATAGAGTTCTCAATCGAGGACGAACGTATGTAGATATGAATCTACAGTTTCTATTCATACCCACATCCTAACAATGTGAATTGATTTATTTGGATTCTTATTAAATTCAGACTGATCGTGCCATCCGATGAGACTCATCCTCACAGAATAAAGTCTATATTAACACATTTTCATTAGAATTTCTACATTGTCTGTACCATAACATCCTACAACGATGTCTAACCAACCATCTTGATTCAAATCATTGATCGCAATTGCGTAAGGACGATAGTCATAACCTAATGGATGTAGTTCATTATTTCCAAATGATCCATTTCCATATCCATATAGTAGAAAGACATTATTAGTGCCAAAATTTGCAACAACAATATCCATTCTATTGTCCTTATTAAAATCAGCGATGGCAACTGAAGATGGGCGAGAACGATCACCAGTTGAATATGTCGCTCCAATCGCGAAACTTCCATTGCCAAAACCTAGAAAAATAGATAAATTATTACTTTCACAATTGGCAACAACAATATCCGAATGATTGTCATTATTAAAGTTCCCAACTGCAACAGAACAAGGAGCAGAGCCAACTCCAGTTGAATAGTCTACTATGTAATAAAAGTTGGTATAACCGTCTCCCAGTAAAATGGCTACATTGTTCGTACCATAATTAGCTACGACAATATCTGATTTGCCATCACTATTGAAATCACCAATGGCCGCCGTACGTGGCTGTGATCCAGAACCAACATCATATGTTACGAGACTTCCAAAAAGTTCACTGCCATATCCAAGAAAAACACCTATCTCGTCTGCCATTAAGTTCGCAACAACAAAATCTGATCGACCATCGTTATTGAAATCACCAATAGCTAACGATATTGGTCCAGCTTCATTGCCAATTGAATATGGCTTTCCCTCGTAATAAACTCCATTCTTATATCCAAAATATATAATCACATCATTAGTTCCATAGTTGACCATAATAATATCTAATCGATTGTCATTGTTCATATCTCCAACGGTTACATATCTCGGAAGAGAGCCGGTTCCAGTCGAGTATGCAACCATTTTACGAAAAGTTCCGTTTCCATAGCCAGTAAACAAACCTATGCTATTCAAGTTATAATTAGCAGTGGCAATATCGAGTGTGCCATCGTTGTTTAAATCACTTACGACAGTCGACCATGGAGATCCATAACGCCCGATCGAATAGGTCACTTGGCTTGCAAGACTTCCATTTCCATATCCAAGAAGAATGCCGATATTGCCTGTGTTTTGATTAACAACAACAATATCTAGGCAATTGTCCTTATTCAAGTCACTGATGATGATCGCGACTGGATACGAACCATCTCCAGTCGAATAAGTCATAATAGTGGCAAAATTCCCATTACCATATCCAATAAGAATGCCTACAGTATCACTACCAGAATTAGCTACAGCAATATCCAAACAACCGTCCCTATTTAAATCAGCAATAGCGACCGAAAACGGTCTAGAATTATCTCCAGTTGAAAAATACATCATGCTAGCAAAACTTCCATTACCATACCCGATAAGAACGATTACATTGTCAGTACCATAATCAGCTGCTGCAATGTCGATTCTACCATCGCTGTTAAAGTCGTTCACGGCAAGTCCGGTAGGGAATGAGCCAATTCCTGTTGGATAAGTCATCATAGCACCAAAACTTGCGTTACCACATCCTAGAAGTATACCAACATTGCCACTATTGACAAAAGTAGCGCCTATATCTAAATAATTGTCATTATTGAAATCAGTAGTCACAACCGTGGTGGGTGTCAGATTATTCGCACTTCGATATATCGGTTGATTTTCAAATACTGCATAATCATATCCAACAAGTGTTGCTATAGTATCGGTGCCTTCATTGACAATGACCAGATCGGATCGATTATCATTGTTAAAATCACCAACAATAACTGCAGATGGGTATGAACCATCGCCAGTGGAGTATAGCATTTGATCGGCAAAAGTACCATTACCATGTCCTATAATCATACTAATACTATTATGCTTTGAATTGGTAATAATTATATCCAGATGATTGTCATTATTAATATCACCAGTAAGGACATATTGTGGATGAGAATCAATTCCAGTTGGATATATCATATCGAATCTAAATGTATCATTGTCAAAATCAAAACCTATATGTAAATTATCAGTTCCTGAATCGGCGATGACAATATCTGACCGATTGTCATTATTTAAATCACCAATAGCTATAGAATACGGCTGTGGAGTAGAATCTGTTGAATAGATTGCTTCATTTGTAAACTTTGCAGCCAAGTATTGAGTTAATATGGCTACGGTTCCACTACCGTAAAGACCGACAACAATTTCTAATTGTGTATCATTGTTGAAATCGGCAACTGCGATATTATATGGATGTGAACCGAATCCAGTGGAGTACGTTCTTGCCAGTCGAAAGCTTCCATTGCCATATCCAAAATAAATAACTACTTCGTCAGTGCGGAAGACGGGGGTAGCAATATCTAATTGATTATCATGGTTGAAGTCAGCAACGATGAGAGAGTATGAAATAGAACCAATTTTAGTTGAATAACTTGTTCCTGCTTCAAAATTTCCGTCACCATATCCAAGAAAAATGCCAATATTACCGGCGCCAAAGGTAGTAATGGCAATATCTAGATAATTGTCACTATTAAAATCAGCAAGAGTAATCGCAGTAGGATTTGAATTATACCCCGTTGAAAGCATCATTACCATTTTAAACGTTCCATTACCATCTCCATGGAGTATAGAAACGCTGGAAGAATACAAATTCGCAGTGACAATATCTAGATAATCATCATTATTGACATAACCAACAGCGACTGAACGCGGATAGGTACCAACACCAGTAGAATATGTAACAGCGATAGCAAAAGTCCCGTCGCCACGTCCAAGCAGAACGCCGACACTGTTAGTACCTGCATTGGCGGATATAATATCCAATTTTTTATCATTATTAACATCACCAACTGCCACCCATAATGGACTAGAACCAATACCAGTAGAATATATCGTCACGTTGGCGAAGATTTGATTAGTATCAGCAAGAATAATACCTACATTGTCAGAGCCCATATTGGCACTAACAATGTCCATTCGATTGTCGTTATTCAAATCACTAGTACAAAATTGCTGTGCAAAGGATTGATAACCAGTTGAAAATGTCTTTTCTCTGACAAAGGTTTCATTCCTATAACCAGCCAACAGGACTAAATCGTCACTTGAAAATCCATTCGTAACTATATCGAGGTAATTGTCGTTGTTAAAATCAGCAATGACGAGGGATGTCGTTGTAGTGTGACGCTGAATTAAATAGTTTGTTTGTTTTGCAGATGGTTCACTGAAGTATCCACTCATTACAAGTACCTCATTAGAACCATAATTAGCAACGACAATATCTGATTGATTGTCTTTGTTGAAGTCAGCTATAGCTATCGAAAATGGACGAGATTTAGATATTCCCTCATATGTTGTTAACGTGGTAAAAGTGCCATTGTCAGATCCCAGAATAATATGTATCTGATCGTTTTCTGGATCAACAATGGCAACATCCAGTTGTTTATCTTTATTGAAATCACCAACAGCAATATATTGCGGATAAGAATTCGTATTAATAAAATATGTTTGCTGTGCTATAAACGTCCCGTTACCAAAGCCCAACAATACACCTAGATTACCAGTGCCACTGTTAGCGACAACAATATCTAAATGATTGTCATTATTGAAATCGCCAATTGCGATAGACGATGGATTTGAGTGAGGACCAGTTGTATAAGTCTTTTGGCTTTCAAAAGATTCATTACCATATCCAAGAAGAATACCAATATTATGAGTTCCATAATTCGCAATAGCAATATCTAAATGACTGTCATTGTTGAAATCCTTAACAGCTAGTGAATATGGAAGAGAATCATAGGCAGTGAAAAATGTTTTCTCCACTTGAAAAGATCCATTACCATGACCAAGAAAGATACCAATACTGTTAGTGCCATAATTAGCTACAACTATATCCGATCGATTATCATGGTTAAAATCACCAGTAGTAATAAACAATGGACGAGAAGAGCCAGTTGAAAATACATTTTGACTAGAAAACGTTCCGTTACCATATCCAAGAAAAATTCCTATATTATTTGTTCCATAATTGGCGACAGCAATATCAAGATAATTGTCATTGTTAAAATCATTGACAATAACTGTATAAGGAGATGATCGAGAACCAGTTGAGTAAGTCTTTTGATCTGAGAATGTTCCATTATCATATAAAATAAATATACCAATAGTATGTGTACCAGAATTGGCAACAACAATATCGATTCGATCGTCATTATTGAAATCTCCAACAGCAACGGATCGTGGTTGTGAATTAGAGACAATTGAACTTTTCCCCATTCGTTTCAGTGTCATTTGACAGGTTTTACCTATATTTAACTCGAAATATAAGAACCATTCAAATAAATATTGATTTTTTCTAATCAAGTGTTTTTTTTTAAATCAATTTTCACATCAACCTGTCTAGACGATTGTACTCTTTCATAAATTGATTTACAATATTTTGTATTAAAATGATGCTATCTCTTTTTAGAATAGACTTTTAAAAATGGTAATGAAAACTTTTCTTTCCATTCATTCAGTCTTAGTTTAAAAAAATTAATCAAATTCAAGGCTCTCGATATGAGGCTGACCCCGCCCCCCAAATTGAAAATCTGTTTTACTGTCTCGCAAATTTTTGAGGATTGTTTGGCAAATTTTTGAATATTGTCTGGCAAATTCCTAAATAGACGCTGTTCAGGAGATCTTCGCAAGCTACCCCCTTGGTCCCGGTTTTGTTTTTGCATACGGAACTTCTTTCAATATTTAGCTCATCCCTGAAGGGGAATAGGGGGATCTTTCCAAAGCTACCCCCTTCCACGATCATCAGTTTTTATGAAAAACTAGGAAATTTTTGGTAGCTATTTCTGAAAAGCTTTCGTTCACAGACTGTCTGCGAAAGTTTATGAACAGTGTCTGCCAAATAAATACCCGATGTCTGTCCTCCCCACTCTCAAAAACAATTGAGAGCCTTGATCATATACCAGTCAAATGATCACTGTCACCGAGAAACTAACTCATTTAAAATATGAACTCACTACAGCGTACATGAAGCCAGGTATTCGATTTTCTTTATATATTTACAGTATATGTGAAATACTCGAGATTTAGAATTTTAGTAATAAAAGAGTTTGCGAAAGTCACAATTTTTGCTCTTTATTTCCCTTTATATTTGAAGATTGTTGAAATTTTAAATTGTAAGTATTTTATATACACCATGAATACCTAAAAAAGTCGAACATCGCTCTGTATACGCTATGAACAGCTCATCTCTTACATAAGTTAGTTTTTCGATAAGAATGATCATTTGACTCTTTGCTTGACGCGTGTCTTGTAAAGGATCAGGGTGGGTAAGACTCTTTTCTGGCCCAAAAAAATTGTCGATATTTTTGGGTCGAAACCATGTCAGAGGATGCTCAGAAACATTTCCAGACTCTTAGTTTCACGAAACCGCCCGGCCAGGTTTTTCGGACATGGGGTCCTCCTCAGATTCTCTGGAAAACTTTTAGTTTTCAATTTTTTTCAAACTCATCTGACTATAGGTAATTTCTCATGCTGATTAAGAATATTTGTATTAGAAGTCACGAAAATGTTTTGAGAAGGAGTAATCTTCGATTTACCTCCATTTTGCTACTTACCCAAAAACACTGTATTTCCATACCTGAATAGATAAGAAAATGCCAAAAACAAACAAAGATAGTGCATCGAATACAGAATTTCATGCTGAATCTGAATATGGAATCAGAAAACTTAGATACTTGTCTAATACTTCGGAAATTTCGCAAAAACTGATGAAAATCGGTTTTCTGAAGATTGTTCGCCGTAGATGGCGCAGGTAGAAATTTAGTCGCAGCGTCAAATTTTCATAGAACATGTAACTTTTCATAGTCTATTCAATGACATCAAAAAAAAGGTCGAAAAAAGTTGTGGAAGAGGTCTAAATCTTGAAAAACTCGGTTTTTGGCAGAATTTCTGCCAGTATTTCTCAAATTTTCAATCCAAGCTAGGTTTCTATGAAATTTAAATATCATATTCGGAATCAGCGTCAAAACTGAGTCGAACATTATACGAATCGAAGGGTTTCGTCGATTTTGATTTTTATCTGACAATTCCTATAATTTTTTCCGGGTAAAAATAAGACAAGAAGTTNATACTGCAGAGTAGTAGAGGTCGTCAACCTTGGGTGTGGATATGGAAGCTAAGACAAGAAACACCCACATTTTTATATTGCATTTAAAGATACTTGATCAATGATCTTTAATGTTTGAAGAATTTGCTAAATATGCAAGTTATTTAGCTCCACATCAAAAAAGAACTTTCATCAAATCAACAATTTGGGTGTGGGTGTGGATACAGAATATCCCTACACCCATACCCGGCTGTATTCGTTGTTAGAACACTTTTTCACGCTTACATATATTCCAATTATTGATCGAGTTTCCGATAACAGGTGGTAAGCAGTAGACATACTCTAAAGCTACACTAATTAGCATATTTGAGTCTATGGGTGTGAGCATAGATGATCACTTCAATCACAGGGGCACACCTAAACCCTGACACCGACTCAGATCCGTCCCCACACCCACACCCTCTGCTATTTCTTAGACTGAACCGTTTTCTTTATTGTACAATAAGTATATATTTAAATACACTCTTTATAATGTTTATTTAATCGTTGAAATTAAATGACTGCCAAGATTATGATATTAATTTAAAAATTTCTGAAAAATTGTTTGCCATCTATTGATAAAATACTGCCATATTAATATACTTTAATGGATTGTTTGACTCCCTCTTCATTTTCCAGCGGAGCGTCTGCATGGCACAACCTTAATATAGGATAATTCAAAAGTTCGTTTGAATCGGAGTAGTTTTATATTGTCCTATAAAAGACTCACCATATCAGTGATCTTCGGTTGAACAAGAATAATCGTACCTTGTCTTTTTCATTCAGCAGCTCTTGAGTGGAGAGAACGGGCTCCTGCTAGACTTTTAGAATATAATTACTGTACTGTGCGATTTTTCACTTGCTAATAAATCAAACATGTGCGTTTTTATCAATAATGAATCAAAATGTCAGCACAAGCAATGCATAAGTTCGATGCTTGATAAATGGTTTATGAACCAGATTTTAAAATCTCGACTTTGCTGCGACTCGATTCAAAATTCTGAATGATACAATCAAGCTCGGATTCGAGATGAGCATATGCGACGGATGTCCAATTTTTACCTTTGAGTGTAAAGAAAATAGTTTGTATTGAATCCGATATATCAGATTACGAAATTCTCTTATCTATTGAATTTCTCACAAAAAGAAATGTTTGAAAAAAAAACCGAAAACTAATTGCATAGATAGTCTCACTACGTTTGAGTAGCGCGCATCTATATTAGTTCAAGTAAATGTTCGTGTCCTTTCGATTGACCTCCACAACAAAGGTGGTAATCTCCACATGTAGAACAATGGTATCGTTTTCCAATAAGTGACATCATATTACATCAATTACAACTAACATGTCGTCATACATAGTCGTCTGGTGTAAAAGCAGTCACTGACTCGCCACGAGACCAACATCGAATAGCTTCTGAACCTTGGCGTAATATATCATGATGGTCAAAATAGAAACTCACCGTGAGGTGTGAAATATGCATAGAATAAACGATAATGATCGGATGGAATTGTGAACTATGACATATCCGACCAATATTCATCAGATAATTGTTGATCTGTATCGTATGAAGCAATTCCCTAGACTGAAAGGCTAGGGTCTAGAAACCGTAATTCACGTGTGTCTGTATGTCCGTCTGTCTGTTTGTCTGTAACAAGAACATGGCACAAATGACCATTTTTATGGCACAAATGACCATTTTTATAGCACAAATGGCCATTTTTATAGCACAAATGACCATTTCTATAGCACAAATGACCATTTCTATGGCAGAAGCGATCATTTTATCGCATAAACAACCATTTTTACGGCACAAACGCCCATTTCTATGCACAAATGGCAGCATATAGTGCATAAATGAGCATTTCTGTCGCAGAACTCACGAGCCTACTCGCCAAGAACTGTTTTTACTGTAAAGAATGATCTTATTTTCAGATATATCTATGGAACACTCGAAACTGATGTGGAAAGGCTATTCACTTGATTGAGTCTCAGTTCTCATTGTGACGCTTTATGCAAAGCGGTGGCGAATATGCGGAGGCGAGCGTTACTGAACGTCAAACACTTGTTCCCTAGACTGAAAGGCTAGGGTCTAGAAACCGTAATTCACGTGTGTCTGTATGTCCGTCTGTCTGTCTGACTGTCTGTGTGTCTGTCTGTCTGTAACAAAGGGGTTGGCACAAATTACCATTTCTATGGTACAAATGACCATTTCTACGGTAGAAGTGGCGATTTTTATGGCACAAATAACCATTTCCATGGAGCAAATGACCATTTTTATGGCACAAATGGCCATTTCCATGGCACAAATGACCATTTCTATGGCACAAACAACCATTTCTATGGCACAAATGACCATTTTTATGGTAGAAATGACCATTTCCATGGCACAAATGACCATTTCAGTGGTACAAATGACCATTTCTGTGGCACAAATCACCATTTTTATGGCGCAAATCACCATTTTTATGGCACAAATGGCCGTTTTCGTGGTACAAATGAGCATTCTTGTGATACAAAGTGCCATAATCATGGTACAAGTGACTGTTGCTATAGTGCAAAGTATCGTGAGTCGTGATAAAACTGACCATTTATTTTGTGGCTCAGCTCAGTTTCTACGTAGCAATCAACCATTTCTGTGGCACAGTTGATCATTCTTATCTGCGGAATGAGCGTGTCTCCATCACCACTAGCTAGAAGCGTATTAGAAATTACCAGTGCTATGGGATAAATAACCATTGCTAGTCCTTAGAATCAACTAACTCATATGCTGTATCATATACATTGGCATCTTGCAATATTTTATGCAACTGTTTGAATATATCTTTAATAAGTAATATACAACATTTTGCAAATATCAATGATTTGTCCTAAACACATTATTGAACAGAATTTATTTTCATTAAAAAACATAAGGACATATGTGTCATCATTCCGTCAGTCTAGGGCTCAGTGAATCGACTTTCAATGTCGATGAACCTTACTTGTTACTATTGAAAATGGATTTATTGTTGGTCGTGTAGCTTTACAATCTTGGATTCATTTCTGTGTCAAATTGCAATTAAATGAATAACGATAAGCCAAAAAGTAAAAACCAATCGCTTTATCATCACCTTTCCAAAGAGTTTCAGTCTTCATTTATTCTTGTTTATTTGAATTGAGAAAGTAAGATACAGATGCAAAGAATTCATTCATTGAGTATTGTCGTTTTGGAACAAGATACTCTACCAGTGGATGTTCATGTTTGATTGTATCAGGATATTTTTTACGAAAATTAAAAGGACATTAACAATTTATACATCCATAACGAATACTAGCTAAAGGACGCATATAACATTGACTGCAATCGATGCGATTCCATTGAAATTCACCTGGTTGTGATTGACATGAATAAAAAAGAGATTTTCTTTGAGACCATAGACATAGAACAAGATCAGATTTAATAGCAAATTCTCGAGAATCATTGGATGTAATCACTTCACCAGATGATGATAAAACAATTAAGTTTGAATTCCGATAGACTTTGAAATGTTTGTAAAGTGCTTCTGAACGTTTTCGATCTAAATGAAAGATCTCGTCTCTGCAACATCATTCATCGATTTAGAATCATACCTTGAAATGATAATACTTTCCATGGCATCTCTTTTTGATGCTTTCATCAAATTCAGTTTCATAGTTGTCTCGAGAAATGAAAACAATATCAAATTTTTCATTGATTTCACGATAAAGGTTTTTGTAAACTCGAGTCAATTTCACTGTAAATTCTTTGATAATCTGACCACCGATGAGACCTTAAATTGTAAATTGACTCTTTTGTTGTGTGTCTTTCAAATGAAAAACAAAATTAACTTACGAAAAATAGAGTATAACAATCTTTTCGTCGAGTTGTTTCGTTGATATTTCGACCTATCGTTTATTGTCTTCTTTAAATTGAAGTAATAATTCTCCAAGTAATTCGGTTAATAGCATTGTCATTCACAATATACTGGAAAAAGCAAAGAGACTACATGAGAATTCTACATGTTCGATGTTAAAGTTTCTTTTTTTTTTCATTCTTATCTATTCTACCATTCCTTACGATGAAAAAAAAAGTGATTGGAAATCATTCACAATAATGCAGTTGTTTCATATTTTCATATATTTCTCTATTCGAAAAAAAGATATAATCTTTTTTGATTGACACGAAGACTAATTTGTATCGAAACACATCCGTACGCGACAATGAATGAGTTTTCTCCAGATATCGATTCTGTTTCATAAATTCAAAGAAAGCAATTTTTCCACAAATCTTTTATGTTTACATAAACATTAAGTTCATCATCATAGCGTGTTTATGCTCTGAAAAAATAATGAATCAAACATTTATCTTTGATAAAGTTGTATTAGTGTTAAAAGAGACTGAAAAATCAAATAAAAAATTTACATTTAATACATTGCTAAACAAAGGTAAATAAATTGAATTCGACAGAAATCTTTTACTTCAACGACATATAAGACTGAAATCAGTTCTTTTAACTAAATTATGTTGTTGTTATTCAGATGAATCCCCTCGAAAAACAAGTATATTTTAAAAAACTTAATCATCCTTCACTATCTTTTTACTCGACATACAACTTATTACATGAGAGATCCATAACAAGATTTTGAATAGCATCGATTGCTGAAATCTTCAATTGATTATTGTTTAATAAATTAGCTAAATCTAGTGGATCTAAAGAATCTTAATTTAAATCATTTTCAACATAAATGTCGCAATCAAATGTTTTATCATCTAACATTGTATAAACAGATACATGACTACATGGAGAAATACACATCTAGCACAATAAACAATGAGTTCAAAAATAAGAAAGGAAATGATAATCTCTGATGTTCAATTTGTACATAGTTGTGAATGATAAAGGAATAGCAGGGAAGAAAGAAAACAGAACGTATACCAATGCTGATTGATGAGGGGCCTGTATCATTATCAGTACAATAAATAGATGTATGAATAATATTATGAAGATTCTGTAATTCTAAATAAAAACAAAATTCACGTTCGCTAATTGTGGTGTTCACTTCAACAATATAATTATTAAATCATCTCTTTGTAATAATGTCTTTTTTGAATATCACTACCATATTGATTCTTTTGCAGAGTTTACGTATATTTTCGAATAAAATAATAATAAATGAAAGTTTAAATCGAAGTTTGTTCGGCTCTCGCCTAGACCCTGGCAACGGAAAATGACGAGAAAGTGACATCAATTCAAATATCATTCTAAGGATCTGTAGATTTCAATTACTAGTATCAATACTGCGGGTGTAAGTTTTCAATGCAGCGAAACGATCTTATTGTAAATGCCAATCTAAATGGTGGTCTTTTTTTCATCTAACAAGGTGTATCTAATAATCGAAATAGGTTTTTCGCAGTGTAACAATGTTAATTGAATCAAATAAATTGATAGAATTTTTGAAATGATAACATATCAGGGAGTGTGATCAACTATAAAAATTGTTATAATTGCGATTTATTTATTTATTTAGCATGTTTTTAAAACAAATTATTTGAAAACCTCTGACAATAAATCATAAATTCCATAATTGTCACAGTTTGTGAGTTCCACATTTCAGTCCTTCAAGAAGTTGCAATAATAAGTTTTCTAATTTATACTTTGATAATATGTCCATCGATAGGTCGAAAAATCGATTTTACTTAAATTAATTCGAAAAAAACTAACCCTAAAAGAATAAAATGCTGTTGTTATATAAATTCGTAACATATTAGACATCATTATATCAATAACGCGGAAAACTGTGTCAAGCTTACCGAACTGATTGTTAGAAGGGTATGGATGTGAGTGTTCTTATCTAACGAGCATTCACACCCTGTATCGATTCATTTCACTTAGTTCTTATGTTTCTTAATCGATTTAAGAAAAAAACAGTTTAATTGATAAAGCTTTATTCATGGATCATAATAAACTAAAATCGATGGAAATGTACCTTTAAAGTTGAAAAGCAGGTTTCAAAGTAATGGTTCTAGTTTACTTATAAAAAAAATAGCAAGAACCGTAATTCTTCAAATATTCGGTTCCATCAGTGTCACATATCCTGCAATTTGGAGAAGTGCTCACATCTCTGCTGGGAGATGCAGTATCCAATGTGAGGGATGCACATCTCTCAATGAGATGATGCATCTCCAACAGCAAATCACCGCATCTCCCGAGTGTAGGTGCCGCATCTCCTGTGGGAGAAGTGAACACTTCTCCAAAATCTTGGATATGTGACACCACTCTTCTTCTCCATACCCCTATATTTCTATCTTAATGGATACTTCAAAGATTTTTTATGATATAACAATTTATTACTTGATCGTGCTCTTGTGACGTAAGTAAAAATGGATTCGGTTTCAAACTGGAGGATAGATGGTGATTTTGTTTCGTTCATCAATCATAATTGCTTAAAAATAATGAGATTTATCGTCAAATAGGGTCAACTATCGCTCATCATTGATAAATAAGTTTTTCGAATCCATCCGAAAGTTAATCTCATTTTTTTAAAATGACTTCATTCATATTAGTTTACGATATTTTATGTCGTAAGAACGAAAAAGGACGAAATTATTTCAAATACATTTTCTCTCTTTTTTCCAACATTGAGTCATCTGAAGAAATTTCGTGTAAATATATATAAGACAAAAAAGAAAAATGAAAAATGAATGCCGTTGATGGGTTTCAGTATACTGATGTATTTAACTTATTAATAACAAGTAGAACAGATCGAGAATCGTATTTTATGGACGAAACGAAAGCATCTGTGTTCCGGTTAACAGCCGGATGCGTTTTTATTTATGCCACAGGAGCATCATAAAATGATATTCTTCATTTGTGAAAAATCTTATTAGTCATACAATCGAATTTGTACATGGAAAGTGACAATCAGAGTTTTTCTTGGACATTTTATCGGTGACACATGATTAAAGCAACAAAAATTAGTCCAGTCAATAAGTACGAATGGCTTGTTTATAAAGTAAATTTTGACTTATGTTTAATTGATATTTGTTGTTAGAGTAGCTCAATTGATAACATTTTCAAGACTCATCGTACTTCACTATCGAACCATACCTATCAATTTATTTCTGGTTATAGAGAACTTTACAGAAAAAAGTCTGTTTTTCATTCTGCAGAAAAGATAAATCCAAGGGTGCGTCTTCCTGGAAAATTGATAATCTTTTCTTTTTACATCGTTAATAATTATGTTTTTGAAGCACAGAACGTTTCGATTTACGCATATTGACAAACATATGCGACAATGTGTGCTGAATTTTTCTATAATAAATTCGAAAGAAACTATGTAGTAGAGGGTGTGAGTATTTTTGTTTAAGATTCGTTCCTTTTGAGGTTTTACTCACACCCAGATACTCACAGCAACGCCCAAATACATGAATGTAATTAAAAGAAGAATGGGTTTTGTATTAATTATTAAATACTAAATTCCTACAAAATATCAAGAATCGTGATGGAAACTAAGGCACAAATCTGAATTATACTTTTTTCCATGAATTGTTTTCATTGACTGGAAATAAATGCAAACGGTCTGTGTTTTTCCAACTTAGTAATTTTTCAACAATGAAAGTCATGTATTTGTTTTTTTCTTCCTTCGAACCTTCGTTTCACAGCTAAGACGTATAAAAATGATGTTTTGAATTTAAATAGTTCAACAACCGTAATGATTTTTAACTATTCTGTAAAGTACTTCAGAAGAGTTGGGCATCTTGGTGAGCACAGACCAATGTAGTATGCATATAACCTTAAGTCTTTTAAAATAGAATTACACTCAAAATTTTACGTCTACACATACTTTTTCGGGACTTAGCCAAAACTCATTTCAAGTGTAATTTGGAATGAAATGTTTACATGATTTTTTAATGTTATAACCAATTTTATATCTTAACTGCCTATTTATGATCGAAATTCAGAGCTCTATCGGATCTAATGAGTATTGAATAGTGTTGTATAGATCACATTCATACTCACGATTTACGAGTTACTCCGCTCAGTTGTGTCAAAATTTGTCATTCCGAATTGAGGTTTCTAGTCAGAAAACTTACAAAATAAACGGAGATCTCTTGGATCGTTGTAAGTTTCCTTGATGAGTGGTTGTCGTAAAAAAATATCCAAATTTCGTCATTCGAAAAAAACTTGACATTGCATTTCTACTAGTACTTAGTAACAAATATGTTTTTGCAAAAATGACTTTAATAGAAAAAAAGTAGCGAAACTAAGATTGAGCATTTCAATTGGAAAGGTTTATTCATTATTAAATTCCAAAAGCAAAACTTTTTTCCAACTAGGAAGTGAAAAACATATTCGACCGTTTTTATTTCATGACTCATTGGAGTTATGAAATATTTCCCACTACTTACGAAAATACTTTCTTTACTTTGAATATACCAAAATAAATGATTAAATATAATGTTATCCAATTTTTGAAAATGCATTTCTAATGAAATAGACTCTATCAAAAGTTTGCTTTTAATAATTCACCATCGTCCTTTGCTGCACCTTCATATGCTACTTCCGATGATATTGACTCATGCATATGAATCATCTATGTGTGCGTATCAACTTTAGAAGTCATTTATTTCTTCTTTATAACAATTGTATATTTATTTTTGATCATCATTTGATAGAGAAGAATATCTTTGATTTCTTTTTATTTGTAGACAATTGAATGTATCTGAATTTACATATGATAAATCCAATTATACACTGAAAAAAACATACGAGAAAATTTCCAACTGACAAATGTTATTATGAAACAAATCAAACAATAAATCATTGTCATAGCATTAATCAGCATATAAATTGAATTCTTTTTTTTTAAATAGAACTAAATTGGATATAGAGAAATGCTTTGATAAGAACTAAATGCTTGACATAATAGTAGTAAATAGCTCTATTTCGAACTCGTCACTTTTTTCATTTTGAAAATCTCAAATCTTTATTGTATTTTAAAACTGCTTTTTGAATCCTAGATACATTATTCTCTATATATCTGTTTATTTCAAGACATTATTTTGATTTGCTCACTTGGTAAAAAAGTAACCTATTTAAATGGCTTTACACATGACTGAATTTTTTTTTCTATCTATACATAGACCAACGAAAAAAACAATAAACCAATATCACACAAATAGAAAATTGTTGTGAAATCTAACTAGAAATAAACGTTCATTTTAGAATATTTAAATTGAAATTATGGTAGGTCTTGATGCAAAAAATAAACATATTCTTGATACAGAATATATTTGTCCTGTGTGTTCATTGATACTACGAGATCCTGTACAATGCACAAAGTGTGGTCATCGACAGTGTCAATCATGTTTCGATGCTCAACACGAGCAAGTTTTATTATTAATTTTTTGTATGATTCTTCATTATTTTCTTTTTAAAGAATGACAATTAAATGTCCAAAATGTCAATCAGAAATATCACAAACCAAGGTAATATATATATATATCTTCATAATTAAAGAGAAAATATATTTGATTTATGTAGATCGTGCTTGATCGAGGCTTCAAAAATGATATGAAAACACTACCTATTGATTGTTTTTTTTTGTCAGTGGATCGGTGTCTTAGATAATTATCAAGTAATTTATTGATATTAACTTTATTTTCTGAATTTTTCTACCCTTGTTTCTTTCAAAAGGAACATCTTGATGAATCTCATTCAAATTTGAAATGTGAATATTGTGGCAAAGAATTCAACTCAGTTGACAAAGTCAATGAACATAAAGTCTCTGAATGTCAAAACTTAATTGTTGATTGTATATTCAAAGTTTTTGGTTGTAATGAACCAGTACGGATATTCTCTAAATGCAACATCTGAAAATTCTTGTTCTTTAGATTATTCTTCGCAAAATGAAAGAGCATTATTTAGCTGAACAACATCAACATGTCACTGCTATAGTTGTTCGTCAAATTGTATCGCAGTTCAAAGATATACAAATGCATAAGAATCTTGTTCGAGCAACAACTGTAGAACATTCAAATCCAACCACAACTCAAATACAAGAGCTTTATGAAACACTCAATATTTTTTCAGGTGGTATTGAAACATTGAACAATGACCAGCAACGTCTAAACAATGAATCACTTCGAGTTCAAAATGTGTTACCAACATTGACCGAAGAATTATCAAAACTAAAATTATCAGTTGAAACATCAAATGTTTTTTTGGACGAAATTGAACAAAATCAAGACATTCTCAATCGAGTTTTTGCATCACTGCAGGAAACAATCAATGAGTCACAAATTATTTCATATGATGGAATATTTGTATGGAAAATTACGAATTTTCAAGAGAAAATGAGTAAGTTGACACAATCACTCTTATCCTCAATTATGAAAATAATCAAAGAATAAGATGTTATTTGGTTTTTGATAATATCGACAAACAATGCATATTTGATCGAACATTATATTCAAGATGAAATCTAACTACTTTTGAGTACAATATATAATTAATTTTTCTGTGTATTAACGAAATCAATCGCAAACGTTATCACTCTGTTATATTTCTTTTGTTTTTGTTTCGTTCTTTTCTTCACATATTTTATTTTGCTTAATTTCTAGTGGATGCACAGTTGGAAAGACAAACATCAATTTATTCACTTCCATTTTTTTCATCTCCGACTGGTTATAAAATGAGAGCTCGTTTGTATTTAAATGGTGATGGAAGTGCTCATGGTACACATATGTCACTCTTTTTTGAGCTCATGCGAAATTTGAACAATGCTATTCTCAAATTTCCCTTCAACTATAAGATTATCTTTTGTTTGTACGATCAAAGTCCTGCAAAACGACATATTATCCATTCATTTCTACCAGTTATTAGTACAAACAGTTTTCAAGGATCTGAATTGGACATGAACATAATAAGTGGTATACCGGAGTGTTTTTCATTGGAATTGATTCAACGGGAAGAAAATTCATATGTACGAAACGACACAATGTTCATCAAAATTATGGTTGATTTCATAAATATACCCAAAGCACTGATACCGTATGCTTTCAGTCTCAATCCGGCTCTACCAACTCATGTTCAACAAACGATGATCAAGCAAGAAGAGGCCCGAAGATCTCAACAGCGATCTGACGATCAACTGCAAATGCATGTAGAATAATCTACCGCACAAACTAGATTAAGAATGGACTCAATAATCATGTGTTGTTGTTCTAAAGTTTCTTGCGTATATGACGGTGTGTGGGTTTGAGTGTCAATCTGAGTGAATAATACAAAATCAACACCAACACTCGCACGCATCCACATTTACCCTTTAGCATAAAATTTAAAAAAATTATATTTTTATACTCATAATTTATCGACAGTTCTGCAGTTACTATTTTATAAATATAAAAAAGAATTTGGGATTAACGCATGCATGTAAGAAACAATATACTCTAAAAGGCAGCTAATGATAGCAGCCCTTTTGAGACTGAAATATGAAACTCATATATGTTCTTAAGTATTATTTAATTAATACAAAATACGTAAATTAAAAAAATTTCTTGTAGAAGATACTAGTCTTTCAAGATGATCGATTAGCTGAGTAAGATTCTGCCTTAAGGCTGTTGTAAATATCAGTTGCATTAGAAATTGAAATTCGGAAAAAGTGAAATTTTAGCTTTTCCTTCCGAAATATTTAAATTCTTTCTAAAGTAATAAAATGAAGTTTCAATATTATCCTAGAAAAATTTTAAATTTTTCTGAATTTCGATTCGTCCTGCAACATATCCATTACATATACAGCAGCAAGTCTTAACATATTATTACATATCCCGATCAACTCCTATGCACTGACATTGATTATTTGACAGTTATAACTTGATCAAATGATAACTGTGGCACATCAAACCATCACTATCAATCATCATTGACATCTGAAATATAAATTTTCGTTGGCGGAAAAATAAAAAAATCCATTATTTAAAACGTTCGCAAACGTATTACAGCCATTGAAATTTCGCCGAAGGGGCTTTAGAAAACTCTAGAATATTTTGAAAAAGTCTGAGCCTCTTGCTAACATCGTTCGCCGCCTCTAATCTCGGTTGTTTAAATCTATAATTGGGAGGAACGGAGAAGCCAAAAAACTTCGACTTACAGCCTACACTTTGTGTTTTTTAAAACACTCATGAGCTCTCCAGAAAAAGAAAAACAAAGCTTTTATGATGACTCTCTTGGTAGACGATGGTTTTTAGTAGTCAAAGGTTATGTTTTTGTATGATGCAAGTGGAAAGCAAATATACTGATATCAGAACGCGCAAATTTCTCTATTGATGTCGTGTTTTTATTGTATGCCTTGTAACATACTAAGAAATCAATTCGGTTCGGTTATGAACGCGTTTGCATTAGACGAATAAAAGCATGTTCTGAATCTGTACGAACCCATTCTTAAGATGTAAGTTTTCTAACCACAGGAACGTGTTATTCTTGAACATACATTGCACAAGTGTTTCTTACACGCGAGCACGCGTTTGAACGCTTTAATTATTTTAAAGTATGTGCTTTTAATCAATAAAACATATTTTTAGTCGTTGTTATTTCTGAATTTTTGCTATGCGTATGTTTTATAAGATACTTTTCGTTTGAAACACTCCTAATGCGTAGCTTGTCATGCTATTTATCTCAGCGATGGTGAAACAAATTTTGTGTTGAGCCGGCTGATTGATTTGGTGTGAGAGTTCGAGTACTCAAATAGGTTTTTCGGGAAATTCTTTTTCAAAAAACATACGTTTCGTGCTAAATTTTAAAGATTTCGAACCGGGGAGGTTGAGGCTCCTCGTCGTCTTTGAGTTACCCGATTGGCTCTGATAAAAAAATTCAATTTGAACAGTTAAAGCTTCACGCGACTGAGACTCAAGTATGATCAGGATCAAGTTTTAACTATAGAACGAAAGTCGTATTTCGAGATTTAGGATATCATCATTTTTATTTAGTTGTATGCAAAATAAATGTGGTATCGGCAATCAAAGTAAAAACAAAGATAAGCAACATGTGACTTATGGGAAAACATTTTCCGTCGAAAATTACAACTGAGTTTCCCATAAGCTTTTGTATACGCTGATTACAGTCGTTGGTCCCTACGCTGTGATTTTCTACGGCAAGTATTTTTCGGTTAAATACATGTCATTGCACTCACGTTTTTTATGCTAATTCCGAATATCACATTCATTTTGCATTCAACTGCACTGCTGATACTCTAAATCTCGAAATACAATCTTAGTTTCATAGACAAGACTTGACTATTCTGACAATGTCGACACACACATGCCATCAAATTTTAACCGTTCAAATTGGTATTTTTATCACAGATAAAAAGATAAATGACATCCAGTTTCCACATTTTGTTGTATGTGACAGTATTTCAGGTATTCTATATCCTAGATTACTCTGAAATAGCTTAATTCTTATTATCAAATGATTTTCTATACAATTGCATCTCTACTAGACCAAATTTCGATAAGGGTGTGGGTGTGAGTGTGGGCCGGGTGTCGAGTGTGGTGTGTGGCTGTGATTTAGGATGGATGTGGTGTGGATGAAAAGAAAATACGCACGCTCATCCACATCTACACCCTACTTTGTATAGCTGATACAAACGAATTGCTACCGTTTACTCATAGATACTCGAATAAATCGACACATAGTTGCAGCACATTGAACAACATGATCAGTCTAATATTGAATAATTAGGATGAATACTCAAGTGACTCAATCCTGTCGGTGAATCCTACCGGAAGAGGTATGTTTTGATACTGTATTACTCTGGAAACTGTTGTTTCCTCTAAAAAAAAAGGTTGGATTCAATCTACATTTTGTCGAAATCCTTGTAACCGAGTTTTAGACCGAAGATCCTATCGGTTCCTGGCGAATCCGATAACCGGTTAATATCGGAATCGTCCGGATTCTTCCATTGAAAAAAATCGCATAATGGAGGATTTCACCACAAATCTAGCTGGATTTCATTGGAATCTGACATCCGAATACCTGATAACTTATGTCGGAAACATGCCAGTCCAATTCTTTAAAATCTACCTATCGGACCATACCAGATGTTGACAAAAAAATGGAGTTTGAAACTGACAGGAAAACATACGATTTCATTGACTTCTCATATTAAAGTCTGAAGCACATGATACCAGAAAAATCTGTTAGCGTCTTTACTAGTCTCACAAAAGAGTTTCCCTAACTAATCAATCACCTTTATCTTGACTGTTTGTTCAATCGCTGAATTGTACTGATATATCAAATATCCTAAAATGATCTGGTTTTCGGCATCTTTTGAGTAGAGATATACATATATCACTATATCCACTTTTCAAGCTGTTGGCCACGATAATATATTTGGTATTTCCATTAAGTGTTGATCAAGTCTTAATTCATGCCTTATGATAAACATTCGATGTTTTCTATTACGAGAACCTTAAAAAATAAATTGATGGTCATTGAGGAGAGATATAGATTTTCTTTGTATTAATTAATAAGTAATTTGACTATAACTTCTATTCTTATTATGGACTAGAAACCTCAATTTGTTTTAAGTGATCTCGAAATTTTTAAATTTTGCAACTTAGTCATCATACATTTTTACGAGTTACGTGCAGTGTCATATGGTATAACCATCGGTAGGACGGACCGTGTTTGTTATTTCAATAAATGCTACACACATTAAATACAAACACTCAATTCGATGTTCATTACATCTACCGTACTCTACATTTATAGATGACTTTCTGATGATATATTTGCTAGTGCGGATCTTCTAAGTGAATGTTTTATTTTCTGTCAATGAAAGCAAGAGTAAATGAAGAACAATGCGTAATCCATATTATTCATCAAATATTGGGTAGATACTGAAAGCACCAACCTAACTGCTCATTTCACTGTGGTACATGAACACAAGCTATATTTATATACTCAACCGACACATCAAAAAAGGTGTGGGTGTGGGTGTCGGGGTGGGGGTCGGCGTAGGTGTGGGTGTGGGGGAGGGTGGGTGAATGTACTTATGTTTGACAGTCACACCCACACCCACACCCACACCCTATAGTTTTGTAGCTTTCGAAAAGGGCTATCGAATGGTAAAAACCTGAACCCGATAGCTATGAATATTGGTGAATTATTATCAAAACACCGTGGCATATATCTATCATATATCCATGAAGTGGACCCATGATCTTGAACACGCTTGGTACAAGTAAGGAATCAATTTAAAATATCCTATCTAAGTCAAATTTTCAAGCTGAACACGAATCTGAAGTCGGTTTTCGTGATTTCTATAGAAATTGTATGACTTTGTGGGGTAGGACCAATGATTCAACTTATCTCTCATGCTGATTTTTTCAAGCATTGAAATCGTTTGACATTATTTAACTCGTGATCACTATGAAAATAAAGTTTTTACAATGTTCTAATAAACGAAAACAGTGAATGTACAGTTCCATCGTACAGAAATCATTTTCGTAAAAGAAATATATTTTTTATAGTGTCATTCTGAGCGGAGCCAGGCCGAGCCATGAAAACGTGGCCCGATTTCGAAGTCTGTTTTGATCTTATCTCTTGTCATTTGCAATGGTTATCAATGACTTCTAATAATTTCTGATATTTTTAGCTATTTTATAACCATGCCAAGTCATTTTAAATATCTTTAATGCGTTACAGTGATTTCTGATGCTTTCAAGTGATGTCTTGCTCTAGGAATTAGTTTATTCGATTATAAAAGCAGAACAAATTTTTTTTCCTAGTACAACTAAATAATACTACGGAAAAACAAGAAGTCTAGATCGCTTTCCGTATCACTATCTAATGGATCCAAAATGCAAATATATATATATAGCAGGTTCTGTTTTTATAGTCAATTCAGTTGTACAATTTTTATGTACACTTGGAAAAGTCTTCTTCAAAGATGAAACATCACTTGAATAATTAAATTTATATTAATTTGTTGAAGTGTATCTAATGAAGTTAAACTTATCAACTATCTTCCTATTAAAGTAAGACATTTATTAACATAACAGAACAAAATCTCAATTTGACATTCTTGTCGAAATAAATGTGTTTTTTTTTTGAAAGACAAGCATTTGTTAATTATCTACCAGTGATGCAACCAGGATTTCCCTAATGATGAAATAGAGCTGGCAAAAGGATTCAATATATTTGATATTTTCCATTGGGGCATAATTTTTTCAAAACTATAACAATCAGTCTCCCGATGTTAAGGGGAGATTGACGCATTCAGCTAAACAGTTCATTTCTTCTAGTGGTCTCATCACTACTATCTATTAGTATATCTATTTTTGTGCTAGTAGTTTCATTCAACAGTAAAATGTATCTGTTGAAATATTCTTGATTAGATCGAATTGGTACATTTTCTAATTGTGCTCACCATGTATACAATTTACTCAAAAAAAAGGCATTCGATCTCAACTTATTCAAACATGAAGGGACAACGCGAAACGAATATGACATAAGAACACAAATTATTTCTACTCGTTTCTACTTGCTTCTACTCATAATTGGCATTTCTATTCTCATCGTATACACATTGTTAATTGGTGATATCAAATACGTTACTGTACATAATTCACCTTTGAGTACATTTGAACAACTTGAATCTCATAAAATATACTCAGCCACGCTCAATTGTCCTTGTCAAAATCTTTCAATTCAATATGGTACATTCGTTTCTATTTCTTATCGATTTCATCAACTTTGTACTAGTGAGTTTTTTTCGTTTGATTTTCTAAGTTTAATCTACAATCCTTTGAATAGTTTCAACTATTCTTATTTTGATTATCGTCTCTTTATTGTGCTACAATTTCGATGGCTTATTTCATTATGTACTCTAGCCAATAGCACATTTAATGATGCATTAGTTCTCTTTTATTCGAATAAGCTCGTAACGGGTCGAGCTCAATCACGAACAACAACTCAGACACAGATGGATACAGCTCTAGCTCATTTCTATTTATCGACATCACGTACATTTCTTCGTGTACGTGATTTTATTGAATGAGTTTCTCAAGGAAATGGCATTATTTCTTAAATTGAATCCAATTGGTATTTTTCTTCATTGATTGGACCTATTCAATATGCTTCACTCTGGACTGAACCACATTCTTATAATAATCATAATTCTTCATGTTCATGCGGTATTAATCATATGTGTACATCAGTGGCAATGACTGATGAATGGCTTGTACCTGATTTTCGTGTCGGTTGTTATGCGCTTCAGTCTCTTCTTCAATCTAGTCTCGAGTGTCTCTACAATATAACATGTATCAATCAACTTAAATCGATCTATTTCAATTCAGATTTCACTGTTCGAACACTTGATCCTACGCTTTCTTCTCCTAACGCCACTGTTCAAACTCTTATCGATGAACTTCTGGTCGATCGATGGGACAGTAGCATCGATTATAATCAATATTATTTATCATGTGCACCAATTTCATGTACATATTCGTTTAACAAACAAGTCGACGTCATTTATCTTGTGACAAGTATAATTGGCCTATTCGGAGGATTAACTGTTGCACTCAAGCTTTTCGTTCCTATTTTGGTCAAAACAATTCGATATTTCAAAAATCATCACCGTCGAAATCGTACGATCCCATTAGCTATAATGAAAATACAAAATACAACACACAAATTTTGACAATTATGTTTGAAGTTGACTTTTGAGTTTTGTATTCCTATCATTTGAGAATATTGTGGACGTCGCTGAATCAATAGCATTAAATCCTGAGGGTGTGAATGTGAGTGTGAGTCTTTTCTTTATCGTTCACACTCAACAACAAACATGGTCTATGTTCATAGGGAAACTACGTCGTAACAACTGTGTTTGCGTTCCTCTCGATGAAATTATTATGTTTTATCTTCCTTTATTTATCTCATTAAGAAACAATGTTCGAATGCAAAGGTGTATTTCGACTGACTAAGAAGGAAAAATATAGTTTTAATACTTTATAATGGTAAAGCTTCTGCTATAATAAGTCAAAACAGAATGTTGAAAATAAAGATCGACACTGACAATCTTTTTTCTTTAATTTGACATCATCATCAGTTTCAATCGTTTGAAATAGCCTTCAAGTATCGTTGGCCTGATCGTTGAACGATTTCTTGTGCTTTTTCGCGAATCACTCCATCTGTACCACCACTAGCTACTGCACCATACAATTTATCAAAGTGGACAAGTTGTAAGCGTTCCATGATGCGTTTAACTTTTCGTTCATTGAGTGGAATGTAATTTGGAAAACTATGCATGAATGTAACTTGTTTTGAATCCATACAAATATGAGGCTCATCTCCACTGAGTAATACACCACTCTGTGATGCTCCTTCTGACCAGTATAATACTTGTGAGCCTTCGAAATGTCCACCTGTGTGAATGAGTTTTAGTGTCTCATCAAATAAATCTTTTGTGCTACCGTCCCAAAAGTGAATACACTTATCACGTCTCACTACCCACTCTTCAGTGTCCTTGTGAAGATAAATAGGAACATTACCAAACAAATGACTCCAATCTACCATAGTTGTAAAAAAATGTGGATGAGAAATGGCTATTGCTGCAAGACCACCGATGTCATTTATACAATCAATAGTGGTTTGATCGAGAAAGGAAATGCAATCCCAGAGAATATTGCCATATGATGTTTGTACTAAAAATGCACGTTGACCAATGGCAAATCGTGGTTCTGTGTGGATTGAAAATAAGTTAGGTTCCTCGCATGTAATTTTATTTTCATATTTGCTTAACATTTCTTCTCTTGTTGTCCATTTCTGACCATTGACACCAACATATTGCCGTTCATCTTCACATATCAAGCAATGCGAAGGAGGTAATTGTGAGAATGGATATTGAAGACCACAGGTCACACATATGTGACAAGCCATCAAACGAGCTTATTAATTTATGAAGAAAACAAAAAAAACTCAGTTAAATTTATTTCTATAGAGTTTTGATCGCAAAGTCTGTCGATAGCAATCAGCTCAATTGAGTCTATGACTGAGAAGAAAACGATGGGAATATGGCAGTTGGAATTTATTTTTGACTAGTCTATTACACAGAAGAAACTTAACTACAAAAAAACAGTAACATTTGATTATTTTTTCACATTGATTGTAGTCCAGTACTCCTTACCCTTTATCTCTTTTATTTTGCATATGAATAATATCAACCGAAATGAAGTGAGGTTGTTATCAATGCTATGAAGCAAACGTAGACAGGGCAAAACAAAATTGAGAGTAGGTAAGGATGGATACAACACAAATATTGGCATGAGAGGCGGTATTATGAATTGGCTCCACTTTGTCGTTACTATATGTCCAATTAAAAAAAGATATCTTTATAGTTACCCTCTATTTTTCACTATCAACTGAGTACCGTTCGCCCCATCAACTAAACAATATTTTGTTCTTTCTCCGTTACAGCCTATCTTACAACAGTCAGACATTGATGTGCACCTTTCTATCTCAATATTCTCGCATAACGATGCTAAAATCAACCTTGTCATGAATATAAATAGCATGGTGCCAGTTTTTTATGATCGCCGTTATAATCACAAAGTATGCCAGCATTCTATTCAGTCTGTTCGATTCGATGTGGCCGTGTACACTTGTAGGTGTGTACATAAGAAAATCTTCCTCAGACAAGAAATATTAACATGTGAGACGAATAATCACGCGCATCTAATAGTTCATACTTTACAATGAAAGTAAGTAATGAAATAATAGGAATCATATGAGACGGAGTCGAGAGAATCATCAACGAGAATGACGCGAGCAAAATTTGTCTTTTTCTCACCAAGTTGTTTCTGATGAAGACGTTGTATGACAGATAAGATTTGATAAAACCAAAGATATAGGTAATATTAATAGAAACGCTTCTTTCTTTCTTTTCTTCTCTCTTTCAGAGTAATATCAAGCACAAAGTCAAGTTACTGTAGAAGAAAATGATTAATCGTTGTATAGCAGAGTTTGAAAGAAACGAATCTATTGAAATGCACTGTAGATGTGGGTGTTCATATCCTCTTTCACAACACTCAGACCTACACCCATTTGCGCACACCCGCACCCATACCCACCCATACGCAACCACACCGACACCCACAATCTGAGAATCATGCTATTCTGCTCCTTTTTACAGACACTGAAAATGTTAGGTCTCTATATAAAAAGGACATCACCGATGATGATGAACAACAACTAATCGACACGTGGCGAGAGAATAAAATAATTCTGAATTCTATCTGCAGCTTTTCTACTGAATTTCTTTCTTCAATAGACAGTTCAAGAACTAGGTCTCTTCGAAAAAAAAACATCAAAGATGACTTTATTAATCTCTTGACAGACGTGGGAAACGAAAAATCAAGCATCGATAATCAGATATTTATTTCATGCACTCTCATGATCTCAGTGCAGACACTTCCAGAACCCTATATTATTCGACACAATCAAATGATTACTCACGATGAATATCTAATCGATCTTCAACAAGAATTCAGAGTAATTTATTGAATTTTTGGATCTGTTTCATGAACTTATCCTTCTATTTGTGGGAAATATAAATTCTCACTACTTATTAGTATACATTAGAGGATCATATTGTTCAGTAGTGTCAAACTTGAAACTTGAATTCAATTATTCAATACTTGAAGTTCAACTATTCAAGTATTCAATCATTACATTATTGCTTTTCGACCAGTCCCTTCACCGTATCCACGCCTGAGATCGTGATGTGTGTGTTTCTCTATGGTATATGTGTTCCCGGGAGCCCAGTTGAATAATTGAATACTTGAATTCAAGTTTCAAGTTTGACATATATGGCACTGTATAGCTCCTTCAATTGTCTGTTATGGAAGGAAACTACATAATAACATAATTAATATAAACATGTTAAACGATAAAATATGTGATACTAGTCTTCAACGTTTATATTAACATGAAATTTAAAACATTGAACTTTTCAACAAGAAGAAAAAAGATGCTCAAAACATTTCGAATTAATAAAAATGCAAACACTTTCATTGTTTGTACATGTCCAATTGTTGAAACTTCTCAACACAAAGAAGCTCATTTGAAATTAGTCTCCTTTATCAAAATGTATGACTTTATTCATCCTATTCAACAATACTGTAATTTGTTGTGAAAACAAAACTATATAGTTGATGAGAATAGAACTGCTGTAAATTAGTGATTTAATCTAACTCATTGAATTAAAACTACATGAAAAGGATAAAAATACTCATAGCAAACATCTACATATCTAGGAATATTCGATTACCTCCCTGCTGCGTTTCCTAGGCTTCTTTTAAATAGCTTCGTATGAAAGTAAATTTAAAAAGATTTGCATGGAAAATGCATTACAATAATGGATCAGACCTTACGATACCATCATTATCTTGCTTCTTTGACAATAAAATAATTTTTTGATTATCACTATCATCATATGCAACACTTTTATGACTAATTTTTATCGATGCAGAAAAATAAGTTGTTTTACTCTAAATATATAATCCAGCTTCATGACTTAATTTGGTACTTTTGTTTCAAATTATCATATAAATATCTGATATAGAAAAACTCACTGTATAATAGATTCTTATCTAAATCATCTATGTGAAATAAATCATCAACATTTAAACATCATTTTAAGTAAGAAAATGAAAATGATTGAGGATAAAAAAAAATGACTTCCAATAACTCACTAGCATTATCGAAATAAAATCTATTATAATCGATTACTATATTGATAAATAATTGAAATGCTTACATTCATCACTCACTTTTACTTCGTCAATTTCTTTTGATTGTTTTAGTACTAAATGTATATTATTGGCACAATAATTGTCGAATAGTTTTTGACGTAGTTTGATGATCAGATTGGTAATTATAGAATGAAGATCAGCTATTTAATTACATATGAAAGTTGTAATTGTAGTTCAGCGTTTTGAATACCAATATGCAGTTGGTGTCGGTGTGGTCGTGGGTGTGGGTGTGAATATGTGTCAGTGCGAATGAGTAAATGAAAGATCCACACAGTCGCATTCACACCTACACTCACACTCACACCTACATCCTACACTGACAACGCTTAAATTAACTTATACCAACTCAAAGTTTGAATTAAATTATTTAAAGAATATTACCAAGAATTCGTACAGCAACCGAAACAAGGAAGCATAACGATGATGCACAAATTGATATAAGCCAAATACAAAAGAAAATAATAAAAAAAAATTTCTGCTGTTTTTTTGAAATCTCATCATAAAATAAACGATCATTGAAAATGTTATAGCAGTGATTGTTCGTCATGGTACAATATCACAAATTATTTTTGATAGAAAATAGGTTAATACATGATACTAATCACCCAAGCAAATAAACACGCCACTTTGTATGCTAATTTGGCCTCTAAAAAAGTGTGCCTAGTTTGGTATGTAGTTTGTTTTGCGCGTACAGATTTTTGTATCAAAATTTTTTATGTCAAAAAACGGTCAATTTTTTTCCACAAGAATCGAGAAAATGTTATGCTGTTGAAGCACGCACATTTTGTAGATCGCATGTTTCACTTTTCTATTTTGCTTTAGCTGCATCGAGATGCTCTTTAATCAGTATATTTCCTGATTAAGATTCTATGGGGTGTGGTTGGGATGTAAGTGTTGGTGCTGATGGGCATAGAAAACCCACACGTACATACTCAACCAAAAATTGATTTCGAAAAAAAGAAGGAGCACTCAATGTTTTTGAAATAAATTTTATTATAAACGAGATACAACTCAAAGCTGTTTACCATTACAAGAAGGTGATGACATGTATCGAATTGCAAGTAAGATTATTCTCATAGTCTTTGCCAGTTTCGACTACAGTTGTTTCAAAAAATATAGCTTAACTTCTGCAAAGAAAACATTTCTTATGTTAGATAACAATACTTAACTATAAGAAAGGAATATTTTCATTAGAAAAGGTTTATTGTAATGAAAATCGTTTTCTTTAGATTGAAAAGCCAAAAAACGTTGAAAAAAATCATCATGTTATGGCTTTTGAACTATTTATAGTGCATTATTATTGTTCATGTGAATAGTGTTAATCAATTTGTTGTTGACTTCTATTTTTCTTATAATCATTTGATAAGCTTAACAATATCAAAAGCGTTCAGTTTACCAACATTGACTCTAGTATTTTGGCGATTCTATGCGTTTACTGCAAAAAAGAATAGGTTACAACGTGGTATGGTGCACATTTTGGTGAACATTCAACTTACTCTTCATTATCGTTGATTAGTCTGTGTGAACAATGGGGGACAATGCAAGTAAAACGACGTTAATATTTGTATGAAACAAGGGCAGTATACGATTAATATTTTATGCTTTATTCATCCATATATAGGCATTCATGCGCAGCAGCTAATCTTATTTCACAACGTGTATGTAGACAATAGAGTGCTTTACTCTCATTGATAAAACAATATCGATATATTACAGTGTAATACTGGTGGTACACGCACAAAATTCCGCACAAATTCAGCAAGTAAGCGTACACTATGTAAAATAATTATGCGAACACTGTAATATATCGATATTGTTTTATCAATGAGAGTAAAGCACTCTATTGTCTACATACACGTTGTGAAATAAGATTAGCTGCTGCGCATGAATGCCTATATATGGATGAATAAAGCATAAAATATTAATCGTATACTGCCCTTGTTTCATACAAATATTAACGTCGNGCGCCCCCCAATAATAGGACTTGTGGACGGTAGACACTCCTCTGAACGTTCCCGCGTTCCCGGGAACTGGTAACGGGGCGTTACTGTTCCCGGGAACGCGGGAACGGAAAAGTTACCAGTTTCCGGGAACGCGGGAACGAAAAAGTTCCCAGTTACCGGTAAC